TAAAAAGGTCTGAGGGACTGGTTTAGAGATCACCATTCAGACCCCCGTCAGAGAGATTGAAAAGAGAAGAGAGACAAGAAAACTCTCAGTGCAGTCACTGCAGACAACATGGAGACTCTAGATTTCTCTAGAACGGCCAGACTTAATGGAGATATTCAAGTTCTATTAGAGACCAGGTCGTGGTCCAGATCCTGACTGATGCTCCTTGGCTCAGAAGCTTTAGGAGACACCCTGGTGCTGCTTGACCTTCATGGAGAGCTGAAGTCTTCTTCACATGTGTAGTAGAAATGATGGGCCTTTGTCGTTAGTACCTACCCAGCGTGGTTCCACTCATCTCTACAACATAACGGGTACCAAGTTGTGGCCCCTTTTCCAGCTCCTGTTTCGATGTGGTATCAAATGTTTGGGAGTGAACTTCTGTTCTCCAGGTCACGTAAATGTGCTTGTAGCATCTTCCTTTTATCATCTCAGACGCTTGGCTAAGGCTAGACCATTCTTGTCTAGACCTGATCTGGAAACAGTTGTGCATGTGTAACGTCATGAAATGATCATTACACATGCATTCATAACTTTGCACCTGGACTACTGCAACTCTAGCCCATTGGATTGAGTCAGTGTGCCTTAGGTCATCTGCAGCTTGCCCAGGAGGCTGCTGGGAAATTCCTGGATGGCAGGCCGAAGTTTGAACATGCTACACCAATGTTGGCCGGTCCACATTGTCTACCTGTCTCTTTTAGGATTTGTTCTTTAATTTGACTCCAGCATATCTGGCCGACATGCTGCAGCTGTATGTTCCCTCTCGGGCACTCCACTCAGAGGACCTGTCCTTGCTCGTGGTTCCCGGGTCCCGGTTGAAGATGCGTGGTGACAGAGCTTTTTCAGTGGCAGCTCCAGAACTCTGGAACGAGCTTCCACTACTTATGCAGCAGTCCTTCTGTAGCAGTTTTAAATCTAAGCTGAAGATCCATGTTTAACTCTGTGGGGTGATTGATAGTGCTGCTATTTTCTCTCATTTAAGATTTTATTAGCTTGTGTAGTTTTATTGACTTTTAAGTTAGTTCTGTTTCTCCTGTGTCTGTGAAGCAGTTTGGTGGCATGTTTTTGTCTGTAAGGTGCTATATAAAGAAAGTTTGAGTTGAGTTGAGTACCAAGCTGTTCCAAAACCCAACATTAGTGTTTGCTCTGCGGGAGCCCTCTGCCCTGGGGGCGGTGGCCGGCTGTGGCAGCCTGGGCGGAGGTGGGGGTCTCCGCCCTCCCTCCGCTGGGCACCCTGTGCCGATGCCTCGGCTGCTGCTGTGGATCTGCTGTTGTCGGGGCAGATGGCTCCCCTGATGGCGTTTCCTTAACTTGGCTTGTCTGGCTCATCAGAGCTCAGCCCAGTGTGTTCCATTTTTTATCTTATGTCTTTGAGTGTGTGTGTGTGTGTGTGTGTGTGTGTGTGCGCGCCAGACAATGAGTGTAATGGGGGGTATTGTTATATTGCTTTTATATTCATGGGGAGGTAGGGAATGTGGGTATGTGGGGTCATTTTAATTAGTAAAGCATTTGAGTTGCATTTATTGTATGAATGGTGCTATATAAATAAAGTTTGATTTGGTTTGATCAGAGACTTTTGGTCACTGATTGAATGAATTTACGTATTTGAATGAGACGAAGCGTATGAATGAGCAAATACGGTGATTTAGTTTCCATCTGTTGTCCAACATAAATAAAACACACATTGCATGGTAAACAGGAGACGATGCAGTCCAGAACACGGTTAAGACAAAGCAAAACAACAAGTCCATAAATAAAATAATGGTAGCTGGCCTGTATTTATGTAGCACCTTCTTAGGGTTTTACAACCCCCCAAGGCGCTTCACAACACAATCATTCACCCTCTGGTGGTGATGAGCTATGGTGTAGCCACAGCTGCCCTGAGGCGCACCGACAGAGGCGAGGCTGCTGGACATGGGCACCACCGGTCCCTCTGACCACCACCAGCAGGCAAGGCAGGTTAAGCGTCTTGCCCAAGGACACAACAGCAGCATTCGCTGGTCGGAGCCGGGATCGAACCTGCAACCTTCTGATTATTGGACAACCCACTCTACCTCCTGAGCTGCTTCTGCCCCTTAATTAAAAATATTCAATTTAAATAAAACAAGAATAGTTAACCTCCATCCATTTTCATCCGCTTATCCGGAGTTGGGTCGCGGGGGAAGTAGCCTAAGACGAGAGGCCCAGACTTCCCTCTCCCCAGCCACTTGGGCCAGCTCCTCCGGGAGAATCCCAAGGCGTTCCCTGGCCAGGTGAGCGACATAGTCCCTCCAGCGTGTCCTGGGTCTTCCTTTAGGTCTCCTCCCGGTTGGACGTGCCCGGAAAACCTCACCAGGGAGGCATCCAGGAGGCATCCTGACCAGATGCCCAAGCCACCTCAACTGGCTCCTCTCAATGTGGAGGAGCAGCGGGTCTACTTCGAGCCCCTCCCGAATGACCGAACTTCTCACCCTATCTCTAAGGGAGAGCCCAGCCACTCTTCGGAGAAAACTCATTTCGGCCGCTTGTATCCGCAACCTCGTTCTTTCGGTCACTACCCAAAGCTCATGACCATAGGTGAGGGTAGGAACGTAGATCGACCGGTAAATTGAGAGCTTCGTCTTCTGACTCAGCTCTCTCTTCACCACAACAAACCGGTACAACGCCCGCATCACTGCAGATGCAGCACCAATCCGCCTATCGATCTCACGCTCCAGTTTTCCCTCACTCGTGAACAAGACCCCGAGATACTTAAACTCCTTCATTTGGGGCAGGACCTCATCCCTGACCCGGAGAAGGCGTTCTACCCTTTTTCGAATCAAGACCATGGTCTCAGATTTAGAGGAGCTGATTCCCATCCCAGCTGCTTCACACTCGGCTGCGAAACGCTCCAGCGAAAGCTGAAGATCATGTTCTGATGAAGCCAACAGGACCACATCATCTGCAAAAAGCAGAGACCTGATCCTCAGACCACCAAAACAGATGTCCTCCACACTTTGGCTGTGCCTAGAAATCCTGTCCATTAAGGTTATGAACAGAATCTGTGACAAAGGGCAGCCTTGGCGGAGTCCAACTCTCATTGGGAACGAAACCGACTTACTGCCGGCAATGTGGACCAAGCTCTGACACCGGTCATACAGGGACCTAACAGCCCGTATCAGAGGGCCTGGTACCCCATACTCCCGGAGTACCCCCCACAGGGCCCCCCGAGGGATGCAGTCAAATGCCTTCTCCTAATCCACAAAACACATGTAGACTGGTTGGGCAAATTCTCACGCACCCTCCAGGATCCCCCTAAGGGTATAGAGCTGGTCCAGTGTTCCATGGCCAGGACAAAAACCACATTGCTCCTCCTGAATCTGAGGTTCAACAATCCGACGAACCATCCTCTCCAGAACCCTGAATAGACCTTACCAGGAAGGCTCAGGAGTGTGATCCCCCTGTAGTTGGAACACATCCTGCGGTCCCCCTTTTTAAATAAGGGGACCACCACCCCGGTCTGCCAGTCCAGTGGGACTGCCCCCGATGACCACGCGATATTGCAGAGCCGCGTCAGCCAACACCACCCCACAACATCCAGAGCCTTGAGGAACTCTGGGCGGATCTCATCCACCCCTGGAGCCTTGCCACAGAGGAGCTTTTTAACCACCTCAGTGACCTCAGCACCAGAGATTTGAGAGGACAACCCAAAGTCCCCAGACTCTGCTTCCTCACTGGAAGATGCGTCGGTGGGATTGAGGAGGTCTTCGTTGTATTCTGCCCAACGATCCACAACGTCCTGAGTAGAAGTCAGCAGCACACCGTCCCCACTATAGATAGTGTTGATAGCGCATTGCTTCCCCTCCTGAGGCGCCGGATGGTGGACCAGAATCTTCTCGAAGCCGTACAGAAGTCTTGCTCCATGGTCTCACCGAACTCCTCCCTTGCCAGGGTTTTTGCCTCGGCGACCACCCGAGCCGCATTCCGCTTGGACTGCCGGTACCCGTCAGCTGCCTCTGGTGTCCCACAGGCCAAAAAGACCAGAAAGGACTCTTCCTTCAGCTTGACAGCATCCCTAACCACTGGTGTCCACCAGCGGGTTCGGGGGTTGCCACCACAGCAGGCACCGATGATCCTGCAACCACAGCTCCGGTCGGCTGCCTCAACAATGGAGGCACGGAACAGGGTCCATTCAGACTCAATGCCCCCCGCCTCCCCCGTAACATTTTGGAAGTTCTGTCGGAGGTCGGATTTGAAGCTCCCTCTGACAGGAGACTCTGCCAGACGTTCCCAGCAGACCATCGGCGATACGTTTGTGCCTGCCTGGTCTGACCGGCATCCTCCCCCACCATCTGAGCCAACTCACCACCAGGTAGTGGTCAGTTGACAGCTCCGCCCCTCTCTTCACCTGAGTGTCCAAGACATGTCTTGGAAGAGTTAACCTAAAAATAAAATAACTGATTAAACACTTAATGACTGCATCGATGACCGTTTTCAAACTGACTTCAGAAAGAGTAGACAGAGTCTGTTATAGACTGGTAGTTTGTCCCCATCACTGCATCCTTTGATCGATCTGCGAGATGAAGGATTTTCTGAATCAAACATCACAGTGCCCCCTAAAGGTCGGTCTAATATCTTTGATGTGTTTTGGCTCATAAGCTAGTCCATTAGGGGCCTTAGCTGTCAGTCACATCACTACTGGAGCATTTAGGTCTCCTCCCAGTTGGACGTACCTGGAAAACCTCACCAGGGAGGAGTCCAGGAGGCATCCTAATCAGATGCCAAAGCCACTTCAACTGGCTCCTCTCGATGTAGAGGAGCAGCGGATCTACTCCGAGCCCCTCCCGGATGACTGAGCTTCTCACCCTATCTCTAAGGGAGAGCCCAGACACCCTGCGGAGTGGCCGCTCTGAGAAATCTGAATTATGAAACACACCAAGCATGTGTTCTGGAAGTCTCCAGAGGTCTAGGTAGCTTATCTGATATTTGATGTGTGCTGTCTGTAG